CCAGTTCACCCCCCCCGCAGCCCCCCTGCCGGTGGAAGCGGGTGTCTCCAGGTGGGGCATCACCTCTGCCCCCTCAGCCCAAACGTACATCTGCAAAGTGAGCAACCCCGTCTCCTCCAACAACGCCTCGCTGAGCTACAGACCCCCCTGCTCCTGGACAGGTACCAGCCGTGGGACACAGCTCGGGTAGGATGGGCTGCAAGGGGACCTTGGCTTTGCAGGGACAACCCTGAGGACATCCACTAAGCTGGAGGTGGCCCCTGGGTCCCTTTCCCCCCTGTACCATGGGCTGGTGGGTGGCGGGAAGCCCACCTGGGGATAAGGGGGTGGAGGTGGGGGGGTGTCCTCAGCCCAGAGCCCCTGTGTCCCTCTGCACCCAGGCGAGTCCTCCGCTGCTGCATCAAGATGCCACGGCCTGGGATGCCTCCTCCTCCTCCTCTTCCTCCTCACCCTGGCTTAAGGACACTCTACAGTTGACCTGTCTCTCCTCATCACCAACCTGATAGAGGACCAGCGCTTGGACGAAGACCCAAAGGGCTGCAGAAGGACGCAATTGCTTTTAAGGGAATTCTCACAAACTGTTACACCAGCTCCCACCCAGTCTCCTCCACACCCAGCTGCTTCCTGCCAGCCCAGGCTCTTCCATGTAGCTCCATGCCTCAGTTTCCCTCCTCACCTTTTCTACTTTGCTTTAGTAAGAAGTCACATCCTCCAGCCTTCCAGAAGCCTAGCCCATGGGATACTGCTAGGAACTCTGCCGCAATGGTTTTCTGAAAACCCCAGCAATCTAAATTGCTAAGTTCATGGTTGGAAATGCTCCTCCCCCTGGCCCTGAGATCTGTGGGGACACCCAGTCTGAGCCTCTCATGGGGCTGCCCATGGACTTGGGGGGGCCCTCGCCTGCTGATGCCCTTCATGGGACCGGTGAGCAGTGCAGGACCAAGCACGCTGGGTTTAGCCTGAAACCAGTGACACCAGCACAGGGGCAGCTGATGGTGGCCGACCTCCATGACCTGGAGCACCAGGACATCTCGAAGGGACAGAGCTCAGGTAGAACCCTGGACTTTTTCTAAGAAGGGAGGGTTCTGCAAGGCCAGTATTGTCTCCACCTTCCAAAATGTCAGTCTTTGCCTGCATTAAATTAATTTTAACCTTAAACCCCACATATTCAGGTGCCTGTTCTGTGTTCTCCTCTGGGCTGGGGCTGGTGGCGGTGGGTGCTTGGGGACCAGAGAGGTGATGGAGCTGTGTTTCCCCCCATGAACCTCTTGCTGGGAGCAGAATCCCTTCCACAATCGTCTCTCATGGGATGAGGTGGCCGTGGATGGTGGGACACGGGCCCGTTGGGGTGGGAAGATGTGTCTTGTTGAGTGATGGAGAAGGTCCCTGAGCCTGCAAGGAGGGTTGGGGACACAACTCAGGGCCACCGCTGCCCTGGGGCGCTGCTGCTCCTGCCAGGTCCAGCAAACCAGCCTGAGAAAAGGGATAAATGGGCTCTACCCTCTGCAAAACCCAAGAGGCGTCTTTAAGCAAAGACTCCTTGGGCCAGATTGATGAAAGGGTCAGCAGGGACCTCACCAGCTCCTTTGGAAAATCAATAACGAGCACGAGTCGTTCCAGCTCCTGGGTCTAACGAGCGGCTCAGCATAGTGCTGAGGGTTTTAGTACCAATGTATGTTTTTGCAGCAGTCCCTCATCCTCTTGAAAAAAAAAAAAAAAGAGAAAAAAAGCAAGGAAAACTTTGAGAGCAATAGGAAAAACCCAGCATGTTTCTTCCATTGTAAAGCTGCACAGGCTAAGAACCGATGGAGGTGAATAATTCCTTCCACTAAAAACACAAAACAGAGGTTTTCTTGCCCCTTTCCAGCAGTGGAAGAAGCGAGCGGTGTTTTCCCCGGCTCCCTGCTCCGTCCCCATCCTCAAACACCCACATCGAATGGGTGCCCACCTCCCTGAGCACAAGGATGTTTCTTTTTTCTCCTTTTCTTTTAAAAAAACATACTCCTCTGTGGGTCAGAGCAGGGGTTATGGGTTAATCCCAGGATATTTGGGGCTTTACCTCCCCGGGTGGACGTCAGCTCTCTGGAAGAGCTTCGTGCTGGGTGCCAGCCCCTTGCGGTAACTCTGGACAATCCCTGGAGGCTGCCACTATCTGTAAAACTATTTTCTTGCCGGTAATTTCCTCCTTTTTTGGTGTTGGGTTAAAGACTCATGGCAAGATGGCCCTTGATGCTCTTCTTCCCCCGGCAGGTCTCTTGGGCTCTCTCTGGCGAAGCGTTCAGCGCGTCTCGGTGCTTTGAATACTTTCCACTCGAGCTGGGGGGGAAAAAAGAAAAAAAAGAATCATTCAGCCAAAAACAGGAAACACATGGCCCCAAGCAGCGTCTCTGATTTGAGTACACCTGTTCTTAAAAGAGCCAGCAGATATTAACTCCACAGCAGCGGAAGCTCCACGAACCAAGGCATGAGCTGCAGCATCTGCCTCTGGCTGCTCATCTCCCTCGGCCGCGTTTGGGGTACGTTGACCCTTGATTTCTCTCTGCAAAAGACTCGGGTGGGATTGTTTTGGGGTTTTTTCCGCTTTTTTTTCCCCCAGGTATTCAGATTTTTAGAAATCATGAGCTGTGGGCCGAGGCAGGCGGCTCGGGTGTAAATATTCTAACCCAAGATAAATGGCTCGCAACTCCGAGCTTGGATGCGCAGCACATCCCCAACGCACTCCCGCTGGTCAGACTGAGGGAGGAGAGGATAAAAGATGATGAATGAACAAAGACAGCGCTGGGCAGAGCGGAGCTGCTGGGCTTAAGAGCTCTGAGCAAATAATTTAAGGCCAGACGTGGGTTGACGTGCTTGAGATGAAGGTCTGTGGTGTCGCTGTCCGTGGCAGCGAGTGTTTGAAGAGTTGTTGGGAGATGCTACTCAAGTGATAAAACATGTGTAAGGAGAGTGGAAAGGGACTGGCAGCGGGGTAATGCTTGTCCTCTGGGTGCCCGGAGAGCCCTGACCAGCTGTCCCGAGGACAATGTGTCCCGGATGGGTCAAACTGCCCCCTGAGATGAGCTGATCAGGGAGCGAGGATCCCTCCTGGGCCCCCCAAGGTCTCCCGGGTCCAGCACGTAGGCAGCGATGGGAGGAAGGATTCTGCAAAACCGGGTTTGGAGCCTGCGCAGAAACACTGGGGCACGTCAGGGCACCTCCTGAATGGAGCAAAGGGAGTTGTGACTAATCCTGACCCTCTTCTTGGGGACGTCCATTCGCCTTCCCTGGGGACAGGCAGCCCCGTGAGCCCTCTGCCACCGCATCTCGGGAATTACCGGGTGTAAAACGAAGGCGCTTGACCAGGAAACCAGAATGCTTGGCAGAGTTTCTCCTCGGCTTATGGGTACCAGAATACCTGCCTTCAAATCCCCCTGGGGTTTTTCTGCCTCGCCGTCACACCAAAAATCCCACCAGCCTGATACCTGCTGCAAGGGCTGCTCCAGACCTTGAGCTGTGCTTTTCTTTTGCTTTCCTCCAGCCCCTCCATCGGGGCTTCAGAGACCTCTTTACGTGCCTCGTCTTGCTCTGACTGAGTCGTCTTCCCAGCAAAGAAGACAGGTCGGAGGGTTTTTCTAACATGACGTAAAACGGGCTTTTCCATTGGGTGATGAATGAGGAAGCTGCACGTCAAAAAGACACGGTGCTGAGAAAACGCGGCGTCCGTCCGCGTGCCAGGCTTTACGGTAAATACACCAGTAAAAAAAAAAGGATGAGGCACCAGGACAGGAGGACCTACAGGGTTTCTACTTGATGCTTCGATGCTGGGGAGGTGTGATCTGCCGGGAAAGCTCCGAAACTGCTGGGTTTGTGACATGAAATTACGAGTGTGGGGGATACTGGATCTGTACGTGCTGCAGAAAAGGGGGATTCTGGGTTTATCTGGGCAACCCCAGCTCTGTTCTGGGGTAGCTCCTCCTCTTTTCTTCTTGTCCTCTGGGGCAAAGCCTCACCTTGGTGGAAAGAAGTCGTTAGGAAACGTGGGGGTGATGTGTCGGGGTCCCTTCCACGCCGCCGGCAGCAGTGGTGAGCTGGCGCCTCTCCCCACGCCGTTTCCTACACAAACAAATCTGTTTACGGTGAAGGGTGCCGGTGAATATGAATCATTGCCACGAAAGACAGGAAAAGGTTTGGGGGAGAGAAGACCCTGCTGCGTGGTTTCCAGGAAATCCGGGTGGCTGAGGTGCTTTGGGCCGCGTGGGAGATGTTTTCCTTCTGAGCAGTTTTCCATGGCCACCAAGAAACACGCCTGGGACCACCTTGAGCAGGAGAAGGACAGTTGGGATTTCTGCGTCAGGGGACAAGAAAAATCCCACGGAAGGTTTTCCGGAGCTGAGGTGCTCGATGGGTGCCAGGCTTTGGCTGAGAGCCACCAAGCATCGTTTCCCGCCGGGGCGACGTCTCCTGGCATGGGGGAATGCTGAGGATGATGGACATGAAGACTCTCGAGTCAAGGAGGAAGGCAACGTTTGCCCTCTGAGACTTGAGCTGATTTTGGAGTCGGGGGTGTGGGGCTGGGGGTT